GGATCAAAATGGGATTTTCTGTGTGTTTGGCAGAACTAGCTTTTTTGAGGAACAGTGAATTTTTTTCATGCCAAGGAATTGTTCATATTCCATAGGGCTTTAAAGCGTCGTCACGTCTTAGGTTGAAATGTGTCACTGAATGTGATACATGTTGCTGGGAGTGTATCCTCCTTAGGAATGCTAAATTTCAAGTGAGGTGGAGAAAAGGCAGGGGGTTGGAGGCAGGAAAACAGCTTTATCCGTGCCAGCGGCGATTATCAACGTTGTAGTGTACCAGATGAATGGAGAAAATACCTTAAAAGCAGAGGGGATAGCTGGGTTGCAGGATAGAAGGAGAGGAAAAATAAACCTCCGCTTCTGATTTTTGGCTGGCTTGTTAACGGCCAAAGTACTAGCCAGTGACACTTTGTATATTAAGCCTTGTCCCTGGAAACAGGTTATAAATGCTTGACTGCTGCATGGCAGATGACTTACATGCAAAATGTCATGAGTTGCATTCTTGGCAATATCAAGACAGAGCAGGGAAAAGATAAAATAGGTACAGAAGTGATCCCTGACTGAAGGATATGTACAACTATGCCGAGGACACTTGTACTGCTGCACCTGCGGTTTAAATGTATCAAATAAAATGGGATTTACCTTGTTGGGTTGTCAAGGTACGGCTTTCAAGATAAGGCATGAGGCTTATTTTAACACTTGAGAAAATGCTTCTGGGGATGTTGATGGGGGTTGCAAGTTCAGTGCTTGAGAAACTCACTTGATTACAGAGAGTTTTTACAACTCTCTTTCAAATCAGCCAGTGCTTTGAAAACTGGCAGCTCTTTAAAGGCAATAGTTTTTTTAGAAAGCCTAGTTTGTGCATGCTTTTTGTTTGTCTGGGTAGCGATGTTGCTGGATTGGGTGTTCTCTTGCAGTACTGTTGTTAGCCTTTTAAGGATTGAATGTGGGCAGTGTGTATCCAATGGGGTTCGCTTGACAAGTAGGGGGATTATTAAACGTGAAGGTTTTTCTTTTATTCATACTCTGGGTTTGATGTTTCAGCGCACAAAGGCGCACGTTGAATCGGCGTGATGACTCTTTGAAGTTGCTGCACACGTCTAGATAAGCAAAACTCAAGTGTCCTCTGCTCCAGAGCTACCTGCTGTAGTACTTGATTTTTATTTTCTGAACGTGCAAAATGACATTTCTAATTACATTTGAACATGCTTTTTCTTTTTAAAGGGTTTGCCTGTTGCTTTGGAAAAGCACATTCTTGGTTTTGACACAGGAGGTAAGCAGTCCTCTTAATGTTACTTTTAAATAGCGATGTTTGCCTTTGTCAAAGTATATTACTGTCAAAAATGTAGATAATGTGTACAGTAAAAAAGCCTGTAGTGGAAGGAATTGCTCCCTCCCACTTGTTATTTACGAGCACTCCTGTGCATTTTGTTTTGGAACAGAAAAGCATAAATCTTAGCTGTGGAATATGTTGTTTCAGAATAATGTTTAAACAACAGCTTTTAGTGGCAGCCATGTTTGCAAGCTGAAGGAATGCATCTCGTTACTGTTGCCTTGTAAATCTTGCGTCTGCCAGCAGAGGACCTCTGTGCTGCTTCCGTGTGTCTTATAGAATCGTTTAGGTTGGAAAAGGCCTTTAAGATCACCAAGTCCAACCGTTAACCTAGGGCTAATTTACCTAAAATCTAGTCGGAGGCAGGGCAAGTTGGCATGACCTGACAGGTTATTTTGTAAACAATAGCCAGGCGACCTGGGGCTCCGCTAGTCTGGCTTCTCTCTTGCCCCACCTGCGCCTAAATAACTACTCAAATGCTTCGTACTGACCCAGCTTGGCTGTGGATTACTGCGAGGGCTGCAGGAAGCTGAGCGAGGTTTTGCAGAGCAGCCTGTCCCTCTCTAGCAGCAGGGGAAAGTTGATCCCTGCTTGAAGTATGAACACCACAAGCATGAATGAAGTGCGGAGCATTGGCTTAGATTAAGCTTAAAGACCTTTGTGTTCGATGAAAATGCTTGATACGACTTCTCTTTCTGCATCTCGCCCAGATGCTGTTCTCAATGAAGCTGCCCAAATTCTCCGACTGCTGCATATAGAGGAGCTCCGAGAGCTGCAAACAAAAATTAACGAAGCGATTGTAGCAGTTCAGGCGATTATTGCTGATCCCAAGACGGACCACAGACTGGGGAAAGTCGGGAGATGAACAGATAAAAGCTTTTAGTCTCTTGTGTACTTAGTACAATTAGGAACTATGTACAACTCTCTACAACTCTGGCATGCAGTTTGAAATGGTATTATTTTACTGTTTTGAAAGAAAACAGGAAATTGAATTCTGACTTCTAATGAATTGCCATTTTTCTTTAAATAAATGAAGTTGGGGAAACCAGACAAACTGTTCTGATTAGCTCTGAGTTGGCAAATACCACTTTTTCATTGTGTTTGGCTTTGTGTTGACAAGGGAGCGTTACATAAAGGCTCTGCAGATTCCTCTCTTGCTGAGGTCCTGCCCTATGAACAGCTCGCTCCTGGCTTGCTTGCTGCTTCTCCACTCTCTACCCTACAGCTGAAATACTTAAAAACTAAATCCAAAGGGAGACTTAACCATTTTATTCAATTATTGAAGTAACCTAGAAAAAGTGAAGCGTTACAAGGTAAATGGTATTTCTGAACATGTATTGGTCTACACTGGGTAGGTCTATGAAGGCACTTAAAAGAACCAACAAGCATGAACAGATCAATTCTAGCATATTCTTCTAATATAAATACTAAAAGACATGCATTGAGGCAGCGGTGAAAATACAGAACTGTCTTCTGGAAAGTCTTCAATGCCTTTGCCATACCACGTAACTGTTCTGCACGCTGCTGGAGCACACACAGTCTCTGTCTTCAGGGCTGTCGCTTACTTAGACCCAGCAAGGTACTGCATCCAAAGCTTCCCATATGCACTTATTTTTTCATAAAAGGACCCGTTGGTCAGATTGTCAAAACTATTAAAAATGAATCCACTCTTCTTCCAATAAAATAAAACATTTGAATAAGAAAGCTACGTTTTAAATTTGCTTGCATAAGCAAGAGAGAGAGTAATGGCCTAAGAGTCACAGGACCATTTTTTTGGTAATATATCGATGTCTTTCACTTTTAAAAAATACAGTAGTAAAGACTTGAGGTATAACTTCAAAAAATACTTGATAATCTTTTGCAGGAAAGTAGGTCGCTTCGTTGGCCTCGGTTAAGGGGTTTCCTCCTTAGTTGTATGCAGTGACAGTTTTCTGGGTCTGCAGTTCTTTTGGGTGCAAAGATTGTCGTTTCTCGCAGTAGCAGTTGTTACTATTTCCTTGCTGCGGAGAGAAATGGGTATCTTTAGCGTGTCAAGCACACAGCAGCCGTCAGACAATCGAGAGGCGGCGGCTTTCGTTGTGTTTTACCTCCAGGGCAGTAGGGATAACCTGCAGTTATTCCATAGAGATGCGATCGCTGCTCTGGAAGATACTCATCGGTAAAGGAGCCAGTTTCTTTATCGATAGCTATCACACCGTCCCTGGTGATAAAAGGGGGAGAAGTGCTTTACTCATCTGTGAAACTTGCGGGTTTTTTTCCCCTGTCTACACGCATTTAAGAACAGAGGCAGCTAAAAAGATTGGTCTGAACACCTGCGGAACAAGCGGAAAGAAATTTGCCCCGTAAAATCTACATCCAGCTCATTCAGTGCATTTCTCTTTGGTGATGCAGTCACAGAGACAGCCTTCCAAGGAGACATTATCTCCCCGAGTCTCCTCCAAGCATGGCAAGCACTTAAGTGTTTGTTGTAATCTGCTAAGATTTGATATAAGTTTTGAGAGCTTCCAGCTGGAGTGGGGAATAGAGGCAAGTTCCTGATGCTGAGGGCCTTGGGTGGCAGGGGAGAGGGAACAGTTGAGGACAGCATCTTTTCTTTGACTCAATCTAGATTCAGAAACTCGTGCCAAGTTTTATTTTAAAAAAACCAAAACATCCAACCACTATTTCTGTCCTTCCCAGGAAGCTGGGGCTGTTTCTAAACAACTGTTCTGCGCTGAGATTTACAAGCGGGTGCTGCTGAACATGGCGCTGCAGGAGACCCAAGAGAGCGCTCTGGTGAGGTTCCAGGACTCGGGGACCAGGGAGCAGGCTTTTCTCTAGCTCAAAGCCCCTCCGAGCTGCTCGCTAGCACGACTCCGGCAGGGAGTGGCGGAGGCTGGCTTCTGGCCGCTTAGGGGAGCGGAGCCCTAGGAACCGCTAGCTCAGCGCTCCCGGCCGTGGGAGGGAGCGGGTTTTCTTTCCTTACCGTCTCCAGTCCGTGTGGTAGAAGTGATTGGCGTAACTAATGATGCTGAAAGGGTAGTTGAGGTTGTTCTGTATGACGCGCCGGCCCGTGCCGTCGGGGAATGTGCACTCCAGGTGCTTCGTTCCTTTTCAAACACAAGACAGTTACCGGGCCGCAAACCGTCCCCCGCCAAACGCGTTCTTTGTATTCGCTAATTTTTGAAACAGCTTCTCAGCCTAAGGATGTAGCAGCAGCTCGTGCTGTGAGTCCCCCAACCCCATCACACCAAGTCCTTCGGGGCAGGACAGCGGAAGGGTAAAGAGGCTCGCAGGTAGCAATGGGCTAAAGACGTGTATAGCTGTTTTTCCCCTTGAGGCTTAGTGTGTTGTAGCCTGATCCGTCCTCGGTGAACTTAGAATCATAGAGTCATTAAGGTTGGAAGAGACCTCCAAGATCATCGAGTCCAACCGTCGACCCAACACCACCATGCCCACTAAACCATGTCCCTCAGCGCCTCATCTACCCGTCTTTTAAATACTTCCAGGGATGGGGACTCAACCACTTCCCTGGGCAGCCTGTTCCAATGTTTAACCACTCTTTCAGTAAAGACATTTTTCCTCACGTCCAATCTAAACCTCCCCTGGCGCAACTTGAGGCCGTTTCCTCTCGTCCTTTCGCCAGTTACTTGGGAGAAGAGACCGACCCCCACCTCGCTACAGCCTCCTGTCAGGGAGTTGTAGAGAGCGATGAGGTCTCCCCTCAGCCTCCTGTTCTCCAGGCTAAACAACCCCAGCTCCCTCAGCCGCTCCTCAGCAGACTTGTTCTCCAGACCCCTCACCAGCCTCGTTGCCCTTCTCTGGACACGCTCCAGCACCTCGACGTCCTTCTTGGAGTGAGGGGCCCAAAACTGAACACAGTATTCGAGGTGCGGCCTCACCAGGGCCGAGTACAGGGGCACAATCACTTCCCTGCTCCTGCTGGCCACACTATTTCTGATACAGGCCAGGATGCCATTGGCCTTCTTGGCCGCCTGGGCACACTGCCGGCTCATGTTCAGCCGGCTGTCGACCAGCACCCCCAGGTCCTTTTCCGCCAGGCAGCTTTCCAGCCACTCTTCCCCAAGCCTGTAGCGCTGCGTGGGGTTGTTGTGACCCAAGTGCAGGACCTGGCACTTACCTGCATCTGCCCAACAGAGCAGCTTGGAGAAGGGGTCGAACGTCAGGCCGTTGGGCAAGCCGATGTCCTTGTTCACCAGGACCCTCCTGTTGGCTCCGCTGACTGTGGAAGTTTCGATTTTGGGTGCTTCGCGATTCCAGTCCGTCCAGTAAAGGTTGCTTGGGAAATAATTACATAATGAACAAACAGGACACACAACAGTAAGGAGCGGTAGGAGATTATCGGCTTTCTCTTCGTTACTGGTTCTTGTCAGGAGAGAGGCCTGGTTTTCCCCTTAACAGTGCCTGAAAAAAAATCTTTATTTGATTTGAAAAAAATCTCTCAAAGAAAACCAGAATGATGTCAAACATGTTTACGACCCAAACTGTAGCTCCTGGACGAGGGCGAGCCTTAAGAGTAGCACATTTTGTATCGCAACAGCACCCCAGAGGCACAGCTTGTGTTTTCAAACGCCAGGCGTGTTTCAAAGCTTTTAAAAATAATGCACATCCTGACACTGAAACAGCAGGCTTAGCCAAATCCTGAATTATTAAACCACAGAGGGGGTGGGGAACAGAGCCAATCCCTCCTACGGGGTGTGCAGTGTAGGAGAGCTGCTCCCAGGGTCAGGACGGGGCCTTGGCACCACCGCGCGTGTCCGACTCTCGCACCTTGCAAAGCCCTGCGTGCAAAGCCCCTCCGGAAACGCTGCTGCTCACCCTCGGACGGGATCCACTGCGATGGCCCGGGGGTTGACGAGCTCCGTGTCGAAGAGCACCCGCCGCTCGGAGCCGTCCAGCCGGGCTCTCTCGATCTTATCCAGGCCGCTGTCGGTCCAGAACATGGCTCTGCGCAGGTGGTCCACCGCCAGCCCCTCGGGGCTGATGAGCCCTGCCGGAGGGACGGACGTGGTCAGTGGCTGGGGACATGCTGCTCCTGGACCCGTCACGGTGCCCCGACCCGCCTGACCCACAGCCAAGGGATGTGAGTGCAGACAGAGGACCCCAGAGCAGGAGGACCCCAAAGCAGGAGGACCCCAGAGCAGGACAGCCCCAAAGCAGGACAGCCCCAGAGCGGCGATGGGCACAAACTGGCGTGGACCCACGGATGTGGCTTTGGGCCGATGTCACTGGTGAGGGGAACACACCTGAGTTGATAATGGTCTCTGGCTCAGCGCCTGGCTCCAGACTCGCCCGGCTTATGGTCCGGCCGGCCACGTCGGTCCAATAGATCGCCTTCTCCCGGCAGTCATAGTCGATCCCCACCACGATGGAGCCCTGCCAGGGTCGGGAGAGGGACGCACGGTGAAATCCTGCCTGGGCCACGGCCAGGAGGCTCAACGAGCACCCTCATCCCACCAGCCTGCACTGGGAGCTGCCCGGGGCACTCTGCAAGATGCAGCAACGGGGAGTGACGCTCAAGATTCCTTCTCCCCGGCAATACCCAACACTGACGGGCTCCTACTGCACACCCCCGGCTGAATCCTGCAGCAGAGGTTTTCAGGCCAGCTGTCGCAGGCACACACCCACGTCCAGATGGGTTTGAAACCCTTCGGCTCAAGGAGAGACTGTTCCAACAGTGAAGCCAGCCCGAGGAATGACCTTCAGGATGGGGAAAGGGAATACTTGGCGAGGTGTTTCAGTTCCCCGGGGTGCAGGGAGGGTCGTGGCCCAGCTTTCAGCGTTCTCGCTTGGTCTGGCCTGGCTGGAGATGCGCATGGCCACGCTCCAAGAGGAGTCCGAGGAAGGAAAAAGGCAAGTTTTGCAGCAGAGACGTGCAGCTGGCAGCCCGGGGCCCGTGACCGATGGCTGGGGGGGAGCTCTGTGAGCACTCGTGCTCCTTCCCTTTGCAGGCAGCCCCAGGTTGTCACCTGCCCCTCTGCTGGGGGACGGCTGGAGGAAGAGGGGAGGGCGCCCCCCCTCCATCTCG